CCCCTTGATTACTTAAGTTTGGTGCAAAACGCATGGTCGAACCGGCAAGCCTGGTGTGTTCCAGCCTGGGTTAGCTCTTGGAACAATCAGGTCTGTCCCAAACATGCATAGCTAATTTAGTTTCATACTACGATGTGCACTCTCAGTTCAGCCAGAAACCCCATCTTTTTTGCTCACAAGGTAAGCTTTTGGAAAATGCCAATGCCTGGGTCACAAGACGCAGTAATTTAAGAGACGCAAGTTAAACAGTTCTATGAGTCAATTGGAAAAGTAACGGAGTTGGATTTGGCCTGAGTAGCAGCATTTCGAAGGTACAGCGCTGGCAATAACAAGAGACAGAAGTAAAAACAGCTTGGAGCGTTATTTGAGGACAACTTTTCAACAACCGAACTGAATGGCGTACCAGTGTAACCGAAGTGCATGCAGGAAAGCTGAAAGTCCTTCCATCAATATCAATATGCTAAATGTAAGCACTGCAAAAGCCCAGAATATGACATATCGCGCCAAGGCACCTAGCCATCCGGGCGTTTTAAAACCTGCACTCAGTACCATGGACCAGAGCACTTCAGAAAGTTCTGAAAAGTTCATGCAATACGTCTCTTTAGCGCTAATTATTGGCAATGAACGCAAACAGTCATGTACTGTGAAATTAGTGGGTGCAGTTAGTGTTTCACATGCGGATTGCTGAAAGGCAGTGTAAAAAAGTTTTAGCGAAAAAACGATTTCTGGAACCAGACAAGATGGGAAACTAAAATCCCAGAAAGATGTCATTGTCCCTTGTACGCAACTTAAAAATTCCAAACTCAATTATCAAGTATGCCTGGGTCAAAGTTATAAATGCATCAAAGTTCAGACTGAGACACCGCTGTCTTCAAACTAACACAGTGTCCGAACTGAGTAGAAAGATATAATTATCCCTCTACGATTCGTTCATTCGTATATGCATGCAGAGTAGGTTCAAACCACTTTTTCATCGGTGCTCAGAGTAAGCTAGTAGGTTCAACCCACTACCAGCTTACTCCAAGCACCGATGAAAAAAGAGAGATATCGGCAGCTCTTTTAGAGCGCGGCTACTTTTGACTCACTTTATTACTCGGACTAATTCTAGGCTTCCGAAAGCTTCTGATTCCTTAGCGAGTGAACCGCGAAGGAAGTTCTGAGTTTTCTTCAGGACATAATTTTAAGACGTTTCGATTAACTTTAAACAGTAGAAATTCAAATAAGCATAATAAAAAACTAACGAGCGTGAGCAAGCGACAAAGCCCATAGGCGAAGGTATGACGCAGTATGCGATATGCAGCCTAGTGCAAATTCAACTGTATGAATTGCCTGGTACACCATTAAGTCCATAAAATCTGTCTGCAGTAACGAAATAAGGGAAGTGCCAAATTACCACGGTGCACCAAATAACTCTTCAAAATCAGAAAAAAAAAGACAAAAATCCTCTCCACATTTGCTCACTATGAAAGGTTGGAGCACTCAGGAAATAGCCCAAGTAGTAACAAACACCAGCAGCAAGCACCCGCTGGCAAGGCTATCGGCTATCGTCAGTTATTTTCAAGCCATCTGATGGCTGGTTTGATTCTCTAGCACATGTCAGTGCAATCTGCCGTCAAAAGGAATGAACGAATGATTGTCTCACTAGCGGAATCGGACTTTCGACCTATTGCACGACGACAGTACTACCCACTGCGTTACGCCTGGCGAAATATTAAGAAAAGGAGGATCTTCAAAAACGTAATCACTTTATGCCAGTGAAAATACACTGCAGACTATAACAAAATCAGTACTGGATAGTGGGAAATCAGTTTTTACAGCAAGTATTGCTTTTCCGAATAGTGCCTGTGCTAGTCGGGAAAGAGTTGCTTACTGCGAGAAGCGATTTTGGAAAGAGCAGAAGTTGTTCTGCAAATCCCAACAAGTTTTTTCGAGCTAAACTCAGAACTGCGTGTACATTGTGAAGATGGAACCCACAGATCGTTTCTGTTTTTGCAAGGCAATTTAATTTTAATGCCCTCTAACAACAAACCTAAACTCCAACTCTTTTGGCGGGCAAAAATTAATTCTGACAACCGCACCTGTATTTTTCGTAACATGAAAATCTCGAGCAACGTATCGAAGGATATTAACCCGAAACGGTAACTCCTCAGTTTGCAGCAAATTTGATTATGAACAAAAGTTGGGGATTTCCTGGCTTAGCCGTGAATATACGAGAAACATACATTTTCACTCTCACTGCCACTGGTAGGAGCTGTCTGCGCTTCCTCGTCTTCCTTCTGTGTGCGTAATTTTGATTTCAGATAGATAGGCTTTATGAATAGCATCACCGGTATACAGAGAAGAGCAATTACCAATAAAATTTTTTCGACAGCGCTCTACAAAACTGCAGCAGTTGCAAGTGCTTCAAATGCGCAGCGCACTGATGCTTTACTCTTTTCCAAGATTTAATTTTTCAGTGATTTTCAGTTGCCCTCTTTGCCTCTTCGCATTATCATTCAGTTGTCTTATTTGAATTCTTAAGACCTGCATAACAGCAGAATAATTAAAACAGCCTGCGAAAAAGTGGACGTCAATGTGCTTTGCGAATTGAAGCACAGCTACATAGTAAAGATGTGTATGTGCTAAAGTATTCTTTGAATTCATGTTAACGAAGTCAACTTGTTAAGATTTACCATAACTTCAGTTACTAAAAAACTTTTGAATACAAACATTATCCGCACGATAGTGTATTTTGTCCAAAGTTTAGGTAAGATACGAATTTCGTCAAGTATTTTATAAAAATATCTACATTTGTGACTATTCTGTAATAGAAATTCAACCTTTTACCAAGTGCATTTTGAATTTGTACATTATTTGCGCTAAGGATCCATAAAATCCGAAAATTCGGTCCCAGCCCAGCAGAGGGATGTCTTTTATGCGTTCTCGCATAAATGATACAGTGCAATTTCGCCCTCTAACTGTGTTTTTTTCCCGGATTTTGTCATTCATTTTTAACTCACCCACCGGAAAAGTTAGGAAGCCAGAAATTTTATGACAATACTCCTTGCAAACTTATAAACGTAGCCAAAATCTCTTACGTATGCTAACATCTTGCGGCAGCTGCATGAAAGGAAATGTGAAGCAGTTTTGACGGAAAAATGTGATGTAGTACCAAACGAAATAAGCACGAATTTCAAGAAGAAGTTCATTGCCCATGTAATACCCAAAATTTTCAAATGTAGCTATATCGTTGCATGTATGGGCAATTCAAGTTTATAATCAAAAAATTTTTGGCATCATGCAGATTGAGGAGTAAGACTGGGTGAAAAGCTGTAATATTTACTTTCTATATGCGGGCTTTTGCAAGCACTGAAATGAGTTTCCAAAGTATTGGTGAAGTGGAGGCCAATAAGACGGAAAAGATTATCAGTAACGTAAGAATGCGGTAGACTAGTGAAAATATTGCTGAAGTCTGCAGTATGTGAAAGTTCGTATTAGTTTTACTTGCAGTATATGAAAGTACGTGAAAGTGAAGAGCTTTTGTACTACAGTTAATGAATTGTTAATGCTGAAGTAAAACTAATACGAAAATAATACACACACACACACACACACACACACACACACACACACACACAC